ATTTGTTGCAGGGATAACAGCCTTCATGATGTGAACACGTCGTTTTAGATGAGGTTAGTAAATCACGAAGGTTCCGCGATCGTCGGTAGACCACGCGTGGTTGTTCTGTAAAGATTCCTTTGAGCCACTCGCTCTGTATTAAATGTTGAAATGTTTCTTTAAGATATGGTTCACATTTGGAGCTGAGGCCGCATGTGTCGAAATTGAGATTAGTCCGCGAACAATCGTTGGGTCTTTTGTTAGTTTTGTTAGCGCTTGCGATTCCGTGGGCGCTCGCGAAGCTGTCCCTCCCACCCCACACCTCAGTGGCGCCGCAGTGATGGTTCGGGAACTAGATCTGTCACGCCGGTTTTGGAGCACGCGGCGTGCCGTACCCGTGCGCTCTTTCATCCAGTGGCCGTGCTCTAGCACACATTACCGGATGTTCTTGAGTGGTGTCCAGCCAGTGAACGGTCAAGCGGGAGATGCGAGTGGACGGGAGAGTGGGGTGCATAGAGGATGGAGTGAACAGCGATAGAAAGAGAAGTGAAACACTGCACCCACCTTCTCCTACGCCCTCTCGCACCACCCGCTCCCGTTGCTAGGGGCGAGGATAAGCACACACGCCCGTAGCTGTTTCTATGGAAGAGGAAGTGAAAGTGGAGAGATAACACCTGCCGGTGCGCGGAACACCGCCGAAGGCAATGCCGGTTGCCTGACATAGCCCGACTAAGAAATTCATGAACATTTAAAAAAAACAGCGAGATACAGCAAGTATGTGAAGGACCAAGCTAGTCCTGTTTGGTCTTTCTCGTCCTTGTTGTTTCGTACTGTTTATTCACTACGAAGTGTAAAGAAAACAATTCACGTAGTAGTGATGCTAAGTCCAGCTGTTCTAACAAACAGGCAACTTTTTAAAAACAGATGGTGCTATATCAATGATTATATAACTTCATTGCAATGATCATTTGGAAACATGGAGTGAGCACGTTTTCCGGGCTGCCCTCAGATTTACCCCACACGTCAGCAGTGGGAGGCTCAGTTCTGCGAGTCGCCTGATCGGCCCTCGCACACTGAGGTTCAGCTGCACGGTTCGAACTGAACAATTCTTTTTGTCCTCGCCCTCATGTTCACCTGAGTCAATGGTAGGGGTTTAATGTCACAAAACTATGACACGAGTATGAAAGACGCTGAAGTTGAGTGCTCCAGAAATTTTGACAGCCTGGGGTTTTTCAACGTGCCCCCGAACCTAGGCGGATGGGCCTTTTTGCCTCCTTTAAATGCGGCTGCCGGTGCCGGGACTTGATCCCGCGAGCTCATTAGTCATGTTCGCTTGTGTTAAGACTCACGAAAAGTATCGCTCTTCACAGCGGCTAGCGGTAATGAAATACTGACCTTTTCTATGGCAGTGAGGCTTTCAGCATCAGCCAGGTTGTCTACCGCAATGGCCAAGAACACAGTTGAGCAATATGTCTTCATTGAAACACACCGTCAAGGAACTCCTTCACGGAACGTAGAAGCCTAGTCGGATCTATATGGCTTATGTTGTAGACAAAAGACAGCATGTCATGCGCCCGCTGTTTCTTTTGAAAGGCCAGCTGAAGCAAATAAAAAATGCGTAAACAGGGGTTGTGTCAGAACTTCGGGCCGACATAATCCCTGTTTACGGCATAACCCCTGTTTACTGTTTTCTGCTGAAGCAAAGTGATTTAGCATTGAAACTTACGCCTTTGATTAAACATTAGACTGACACTTTGGGGCAGCAACCGCAAAAAGTGAAGCACGCACAGCGATCACTTACAACACTTTATTCAATTGAAATGAAAAATGAATATTTATGCCCCGGATAAATATACCACTGACCTTGGTGACAACGCTGGAAGGATATTCATTAGTCCTTGCCCCATGATGTTGATATTATCTTGGATATAGAAAGCTACTTCAGACATGGACGCCGAAATGACACAAAAGGAATGAAGATGACGATGTTGTTGTGGGGATGTGTCTGGGCTGCCCTGTTGTCATTGCTGTCATGCAACCTTGCGCTCAGTGTGAAGTATTAGCCCAACCGGCGTTAACTTATTAAACCTCCCCGTTATATATTTTGGTGGAGGTGCTGGGTAGACAAAGAGAATGTGAGGACAGCTGAGAAGCGTCTTGTTGTCCCCAATCTTCCCTACAGTATGAGGAAGTATGATGGTCCGGGAAAGTGTCAGATAAATGAGTGGAGCTGCCGGTAGTCACCATCACGAACGGAGGAACGGCGACATGAAAAAGTACACAGCGGCCTGAGGTGGTAATCGTAGATACTCCACGGACCGTAGTTGTGTGCGAGTTGCAGGAGGGACATCAGAGCACAAAGGCAACTCTAGCCGTAAAGTGCCGGTTGAACATTAGATGAGGGCTGGGTGTGCGGTCAAGAGGTCAATGCGAAGAATCGCTTCGCGCGGACAAACATCTAGAACAGCGAAAAGGAATGAAGTCTGAAGGCTGGCAACAGTGACGTGGGCAGTGCACGCACCAAGAAGTGATGTTCGGCTGCTGTCGGCTACTCGCACAGTCGAAGACATAGCAGGGGACAATAACTTTCTTCAGGCGGGATCGAAGACGTGAGCTCATAACTAACATGTGGGCACCAGTGTCTCTTATAGCTGTAGTGGTCAAGCGATCGATGAGAACACCAAGTAAATTTCGTCTAGAACTAGTGGTCGTCAAAGGTTTTTCGGTCCGAGTTGTCAATACAGTGCCACCTCAAGGAGCTGCCTCTGTTAGTTTCCTGGCAACTGCCGGTTACGGAGAGCGATGGCGTTGAGAGGGGCAGGGCTGGCAACCCTGAGGCGACGGTGAGCGGCTGGACCTGGTTCTCTGGGCGACAACATCATCCTTCAGCACGGCGCTCCTTCTCACCTGCTTACGAACCGTGGCTGCTGCTTCCTGTCTCGTGTGGTTGACGATCTTCTTAGATCCTATGCTACGTGGCACCACTTTAAGACTTTTTACCATTCCCAGCCGAACGGAATTACTGAACGCCTCAATCGCACACTGACGGACATACTTGCAATTAAACTTTCTGACGACCACACTGATTGGGACACTGCCCTCTCGTTCGCAACTTTCACCTACAACTCGTCACGACTTGAAACTGCTGGCTGCGCACCATTTTATCTTCTCTTTGGCCATGATCCCTTACTACCTTTCCATACTTAGCTTGCGCACGATTTCCGTCCACCACTTTGTACGCACAAGATGCCATCGTCCGTGCTCTCGTCACACGTACTGTAGTCCGCGCCAGGTTCTGATCGTCCCAGAGAGCACAAAAGTCTCTCTACGATCACTGAAATATAATGTCAATTTTCCTCCGGGCTCTTTCGTGCTACTGTGGCTCCCATCCTGCCGCGGCGGTCTCTGCGAGAAACTTTTACTTGCGATACGTTGGGTCTTACCGAGTTCTGCGGCAGGTGAAACGTTTCCTAAAATTTTTCCGTACTACGAACTGGACTTGTACATCCAGAACTCACATTGTGCACGTTTCTCGTCTCAACCGCTATCTTGGTGACATGTCCGTCTAATAACAGCAGGCACCGAGACGGTGCTTTGCCACTCGCGGTAACGTCACGGGTATAGAAAGGTGCTGCAGGCATGGGCACCGAAATGGCACACAAGGAATGAAGATGACAATGTTGTTGGGAAGCTGTGTCTGGGCTGCCCTGTGGTCCTGCATCCTCGCGCGCTGTGGGCACGAGGATGCAGGACCCCTGCCACACGTGGCAAGTGAAGTGCACTATTATAGAGTGTACTTGACCTCACTGAAGTGTCATTTTGGCGGTTCGCTGCTACACGATAAAGCAAAGTGTACTTTGGAAATGATGGCTGTGGTGATTGACAGATTTGTAGCACAACGCATATTTGTTATTTTTGCGCATGTGTCTCATCTTCGGACCACGTTATCTTCACACCTGTGACACATGCCGTCTTACATGACTAAAAAACAACTCACTTACACATGTGCAAGTGAACCTGGAAGCAAACAACGTGACGAACGCAGTCATTGCTGTGCATGTGCTGCCCCATGGCCCTAGTGGACATTGCCGAAAACAGCCCGTAGGTTAAAGTAGCGAGGTTATTGTTGTAGTTTATGATTTTTTATACATAACAATATCTGTCAAAATTACAAGGGTAAAATATAGTATGAGCACCACTTTAGCAACAGCGTCTTTCTGTACGAGCCACTGGTACTAATGCTACACACTTCATCGCAGCCGTCACAGTGAAGTGGGGTTAATTATCGCACTTGCCGGCAGGTGTAGTTTGCAGCGAGTGAAACTAAACTTGCTCGTTTGACAGCGCGCAAATGACACTCGCGGCTAAGGGTACTCGCTAAAAGTGCACTTAAGTTGCTACGTGTGACAGGGGTATTAGCACAACCAGTCGTTAACTTATCGAAACTCCCCGTTACAATATGTTAAAATGCGTAGATCACTGCATTGAGAGTTTCGGGTGAACAACAATTTTTCTTGGTTTCTGAATGTTTTGACAATGTACCTGAAATCTACGTTTGTTTCGTGAGAAGACTGCGAGTACTTTAAAAAAGTGGCGTTTGCATAGGGTTGTGTTTGGCACCTATCTCAAGTGGTATTCATGTACATGTCATTTACGATAGTCTTTCTTATTCCCATAAACATCGCAATATTCAATCTAACCTCTATGTGTCCACCGTTTCAAAAGTGTGGAGACATGTGGATGACTTCAAGATTTTCACTGATTAGTCCTAATTTGTCCTAATTAAGCAGTTGCAGACAAAGTCTCAAATGTTTAGGCAGAGCCTACATTAACAGGAGCTGACACATGGGTGAACTGCCCTAAAATTGTTCATAGGGGTTTTTGTATGGTAAGCTGTGCCTCTCTAGCAAACATGTATGTTGATATTTTGAAGTGAGCAGCAGTAAACAATTGCTTTTTTTTTCATTTCACGCATCGAACATTAGCAAAACGAGGAATAGCTATTCACTGCTTCGTCAATGCCCTTAGAAGGTCATGTCCGCATTCTGCGCAAGAAATTTTCACGCCTAGGTTAGCCACTTGTAGTCTGCCACATATAAAAAGGCACTGATGTCCACGGGTGCGGACAAGCTTTTGCGGGAAATGACCGTGTGCCAGTTGCGCCAGTGAAAACAAATTACTGCCATATCCACGAAGTGAATTATGTTAGAGGAGGTTGATATGAGGTGCAGCAGGCGTTTCTAGGCGAGACCATTTCTGTACCAATGTTTGTTAACGAGCCGGCGCATGACGTGTACAGTACATCGATGACAACGTTGTCGGGCATGTTCAGTGGTCGGAACTGCACAGTGTTTGCCACGTAAACCGCCACGTTAACCACCTGCTCCTTTATACCATACTGGCCGCTGCCGTAAGTAAAATGCCTAACGCTCATAAATGGCAGATGTGAAGCTAATAGGCCTTCTTCAATTGTTTTTAGAACAGGCATGTGAGGCACCTTGGAGTAATGTAGGTACCCGTGCATAGCACTCATGGTAGGAACTTGTCACGTGCTGCCAGTGCCTACGAAGTGACGAGGACGAAGTGGATGAATTCGCGGCGAGCGCGCGAGCCATTGAGAACCTGACGCTTTGTAGGAAGCCTCAATGTGCGTGCCGCACCGCCTTCATCGGCTGGCGCATGCGGTGAACGCCCGGAATGCCCTAGGTGGCGGCGCGCCATGTAGGGAGCATTCTTGAAATCGTCACCTTGAGTGGCCACCGGAGAAGTGTACACCGGCCACACTGGCGTACATGGCGGCTGCTACATCTACGCCGGACAAGGCGCGGGCACGAGAAGCTTGCCGACCCAGTTCCTAGAAAAATTTGCAGTACATACATGACCTGTCTTACAAAATCAAGAGGGCAGGGACACGTTCTGGCGTTGCGTGAGTGTCTTCCGCACCGATGAAGTTTGAAGTTTGAAAGTGGAGTTTTGTTGGCAAATTGGTACAAAACAGTAAGTTGTAAAAGCTTTGAAAGCTCGCTTCAAGTGGCAGCCGTAATAGCTCTAACCATACCTGGTTTGGGGTCGTCTATTTGTCGTGCCTAATGACTGCACTGCAAAACACAGAAAGCAGTTTGTGCATTGTAGAACTGGCGTAGTATACGCAGTTATACTTCAAAATGGTGAACTTTTGGGCTAATAGGCTTGAGATTTGGAATAGAAGAGCAAAGGCTTAGAAGTAAAGCGAGACTACGTGGAAGACTACTTTTCATGGTGAGAAATAAACTCAGTTGTAGGTTGAGCGTCTTTCTTCAGATTAGTCTTCCTTTCGCTCAAAGCATTCGCTTCTCTATGCCAAAAAGTGATTACACTGTTTCCAAGGAATGAAAGTATGGGTCATACTGGTGGGTGCTTCAAGCCGTGTAATTGACCGCAACAATATGTCTAACACGGTCCAGGTCCACTTTGCATTCATTGTCGCTAGAGTGGTTGCGCGCCAACCTGTGAAAAAAGCGAAGTGCTGGCTAAGCACCGCTCTCAGATGGCACGACAAATCACTAAGGCAGACTTGATCAGAAAGTTCTCAAGCACGTGCATCAGTATTTTTTCTATCACACTTTCGTATTCCAAAACACCATATATAAGCCATTAAGGATTGACACACCATTGTGCGCAGTGGTGTTTGCACTATGTATTACATTCAGTAAAAAATATCGTCATTCTGCCTCGTTGTCGGGCATTGGCATGTATAATCGTTCCCTTTCATTGCATATATTGTTGTGAGTCATCGCTGTGCGTGCGTCGCTCTTTCTTGTCCACGCATTATTTTGCGCTGTGTTCCCTCCACTGGTGAAGTAGGCGCTTGTACCTTCTTGCCTTCTACGGACGTAGTTTTCCATTGAACAAGTTCACGTGCACTTTTGTCTCAAACAGCAACGAAGTCTTTTCATTCCTCTCTCTGTGCGTGTGTGTGTGCTGCATCTGCATTGAAGCTTCAGCTGCAACGCATTTGGGGACGTCTCGAGGGAGATGAGCACAGAATTAAAATATGAAGACATATTCAAAGTACTTTTCTAACTTGCATTATTTGTTAATGTGGACATGATACGAAAATGTCGCACAATTGGTAATTGAATAATGCAGTTTTCAATGCTGTTTGATTTTAAACACATTGTGGTAAATGGAAACTAGCGTGTGGCGAGCAAAAAAAACTATCCCTTTTGTAAACTGCATTGTTGGCGTCCTGAACATTGACATATAAAAAACAATACAATGAAATCAATGTGTGCGGTGTCAGCACTATTTGCATCTGTTGTTGTTAAACAGTGAACGAACAACTCAATATGGTGCCTGCGTATTGCCAACATGCCATCTTAGCGGGCGTGTCAATAATCTCAAATTCACACAAAGGATACAGTTGCCGCAAATGAAAAGAATGATGAAATAGATGCAGGCCACTCCACCGAATGATCCGACACCACCGAAGGCTTTGATGCCATCGTACATCACCACGTTCCAGTCCTCACCGGTCAGGATCTGCGAATATAGAGGCAGGCATAAGCACGTGCTCTTAGCTGTGTCCCAACATCCGCAAGATAAATACCGCATTTTTATTGCGCAAGGTGTTACCATCGCGCAAGAGTGAATTTTCGGTGCGTAGTTGTCAGCCGCCGCACGCTTGAGTTGGAGTTATCGCGCAATAATAAAAAGACAACAACTGGGTTAGTGCGGCTACGACTGTACGTTTTATTCGCGGCAAGCAAGTGCTGTGCCTCAAAGTGACGTTAGTGCTCGAAACTTTTTGCGAGAAATTAGTCTATTCAAGCGCAATACACGTTGAGGAAAGGCGTGTAGAGGGACATACGCCTGTTGCTTTCTAATCGTACAGCGAAAGCTTTTTTGGATCACAAGGACGGCCGTTTTTGCGCCTTGATTATCCACCGCTGTAGGTGTCCGTAACCGCTATCACTAGAGATAACAAAAAAAATGAATTAAGAATGTGATTCAAACCCAAGTCATCTTCGTTGCAGCTCAGTAAGCTAGCCCTGAACCACACTTGTGTTCGGACATGCGTTGCAAACAGATCACACCCAGCCATCAAACAATGTCAATTGCGTAACCAGTGGGTCGTTGAGGACCTCCAAGGGAATACAAAATCAACTATACCATGATTCCTCATCGTCATCAGTATCAACAAAGTGCACACTTTGCCTTGGAGGCGTGTATCGTGTTTGTCAGATCAAATATTGTCGCGGTGGGTGCCATGCTACTGTACCTGTTCTTATGATCACCACCAGGGCTGAAGGGGAAGTGGCGTTCTCTGTTTTTCGAACAATTCTCTGAGGGGCCACTGGCCTCATGAAATCCACTCAAGCTAGTGTATTCTCCTTCCGAACCGGTAAGGGAAGCGACATGCAGGCCGACGCCACAAGGCGTTCGACGAAACGATAAAATGGGTTGTCGTGACGACATTCTTTTTACAAGATCCGTGGCATCGCTGCTGATGACAACCCGTTCCGCTAATTGAGCAGTAAGTTACAGGGGGGCAGCGGGACCTTTGATGCACCCGACAGTATGACCGTGTGGCGACCTTCTCTCGTCAAGGGAGAAAAATTTTGGTGCCACAGGTGCAGTTTGTTGGCCACGCGTAACTCGTTGGCCCTAGGCGGGTGTGGCCGGCGCTGTTAGAAGCGGCGCGTCTCACAGCTGCGCGTCGAAAGCATGATTTGAAACCGTTCCCATCTACGAGTCTGAAGACAAGAGCCCCCGCTGACACCTTATATGGCTTTCGACGCGAGACGACCTTGACGAAGCGAAATGTTCGTCATGCAACCAAGCGCTCACCATGTAATTACGGTCACGGGGTCATGACATGGACAAAGAAAATACACTCCATGCTCATACGAAACTCTTTGTTCGGTTCGAACTCGTGGCTAGGCAACTGAAGGTTAGGTTAGAGTGACACACGGGCACTGATAGTGGTGCACAGGGTGTCGGTTGGTGATCAGCTAACAAGCGGCGAAGCGCGTTGGCGTTACATGTGGCGTGGAACGTTCTAGCGTTTTCGCTAGCGGCTGCGTTGGTTACAGAATAATTTGCAATGACCACGAAGTGGGCGTAATCTTAACAAAATGATCTACTATAATCGTGAGCCTTCTAGAACAATGAGCCACAGTTTGCGCTGCGCATTCCAGACAGGCTTTGCGGCCGAAAATCAATTAAAACATTTGGGTATATAAAAAACGCGCGTGGCAATACTGTAATTAAATATATAGAAAGATTTTTTTCACTGTCTTCATGCTGCCTCAAGATCTTCCACTTGAACCTCCGGTGCCTACAAAGGCTGGTTGCATCACGGCAGTGGTTGCCCCAAGGGCTTAAAAACAAGGCTCTTCACATTTTGCTCTGGCTGTGTTGCGCATTGAGCACAGGCCAGGCGTCTCTTTTTTTATGTACTTAAGCTTCCCCCAAAAAAACTGTTAGCAGCGCTCGGCACGGACTATCCTGCTATGCTTGTGGTCGCACGATTGTCTCCGACAGTGCTGTTAAGATTGCGCGCACGAGGTGAATAGACAAGTTTGTACAGTAAAAGCCCTTAACAGATCACAAAAGCAGTGGAAATGGGTAGTTGTGCGCCGCCGGCACCGGTGTACGTAGTCCCTATCGTGCGAAGTAAGAAAAAATAAAACAAAAAAATGGGAAGAACGTCGGCCGCTTTTACTACCTACACTGTAGACCAAAAACGGCCGGACTGAGAGCAACGGCTGTTTTTAGTCCTTCAGACCAACTGTTACTCCCCGAAAAAACCAAGCGAAACAAGATGAATGACATGTTCGAAAACGGAGGAGCAACTGTTAGTCTGAAGTTTTTAAGAGAGCAATGGAAGGAGGAACCACTGTAAAGGCTCTCGTCACGCAACGGTTACTCCCCTGAAGGACACCGCGCAAAAATATGCATGCCGGCCGCATTAATATTCATGGGTCAGATCATTATTTGCTCTGCGTGCCAAACTTCACCAAACCAAAACAGTAGTTTATTTTAGCATCCACAGATAAAAAAATAGCAACGCTGGCTCAACACAGAAGGCCTGAAAATACCGCAAGGGTCCAACACACGCCGCAGCAGCATTGAGAGCGGATTAAACGCCGAAACACGTGCAAGACAAGGATGTAAAAAAAAAGCCTAGACATGCCGTTCGTCTGCTAGGAAAGGGCGTCAAAGCCGATCAAGCACCAAACACGTGCAAAAGACCCCCCCCCCCCCCGCCAAATATAGGAGAAAAAAAACAGACCCAGACGCGCTTTTCATCAGCCGTCAAACTTAGTAGCACGCTTTCGTGTAGTTTGGGGACAGAATGACAAATTTGCGCCATCTTCGCCAGCACGACAGGTGTGGCGCTAGTATAGCGAGCGATGTAATTTACAAAGTGATCATTATTAAATGTTTATGTGTACTAGCAATAAATAAAAATTAAACTCAATTTTTCATAAATTATTATACGTTTTAGTATACCTAAGTTTTTTTTTTTTACAAGTGTATTAGGAGAACACACTGAAAGCATTGCGCTGACGCTTCTGCTGTCACTGCTCGACGTTCTTTTTTTTTTTGGTGCCACTAGGTTCGCGTTCGCACTACTTATATTCATATGGTTCGTGGTCGGCGAGCACATGGACATGTGAGCTTGTGTGCTATGTTTTGATCGAGCGTGTGTGTCGCAGATTTGCGTTTCTACATAATGGTGGTGAAGGTTAGTGTCTATCTTTAGAGAGTGCGACGTTGTTGTGGATTTTGCCACTGGATGGAACAAACACAACGTAAACACATCTTCAGCTATCTGCAAGCCTTTTCGCTCGTCGGACAAAAGACTGTGCATGTATCAGCGTGCAAGTGAGTGGCATTTCCAGCAACATTAAACCCCGCCACGGTGGTCTAGTGGCTAAGGTACTCGGCTGTTGACCCGCAGGGCGCGGGTTCGAATCCCGGCTGCGGCGGCTGCATTTCCGATGGAGGCGGAAATGCTGTAGGCCCGTGTGCTCAGATTTGGGTGCACGTTAAAGAACCCCAGGTGGTCTAAATTTCTGGAGCCCTCCACTATGGCGTCTCTCATAATCATATAGTGGTTTTGGGACGTTAAACCCCACATATCAATCAATCAAACCAGCAACATTCAATGCTCTTACAGCGTGGGTAATTACAGTCTAGCATTGCTTGGGGCGTTTTCAAACCCAAAATCTTGCTTGTTCACAGCTTGTGAAAAATGTTGAGTTCTCCAAGAGCTGGCTCATTGTTCTTTCTCCAAATGCACTGTTGAGTGGTTGAGCTATCGAAAGAGAAATTATTTGCGCTTGCTTATTCACCGTATTTATTGCTAGCCGTATCGGACTCAATTACCTCTATTATTTCCGCCTGCATACCCTCTTGCTTCCTCTGTCACCACTGCAGTGCCAGTGTACTTTTGCAGTTAAAAGTTCCTTTCCGCAACAATACCTCGCTTGAAAAAACATTGGGGCGGGGTTGTAGCTGCCTTCATACTGGTACTACTGGTACTTTTTTATCATTGGCTTTATGTAACGTTAACAGCTTGGTGTTGGGGCCTTGGGCCGCATCTTTAGAGCTGTAAAGTGTATGTAAATCAGTACGTGAACAAATCATTGTCGCATCACTTCAGTGGTACAGCGAGGTGGTGGTGCACAGACTTTTTTCAGGCCGCGCGTAGGGAGCCCATTATGACGACCATATTTGCAAGATGTTTCAGCACGCGAACAAGAGAAAAAGGACAGGGACCGACAGAAAGAGCGCTGACTTCCAACTAACTTTATTTCACAGGGTGGCAAGAATATATACGTCAAGAAAAGGAAGATTACAGTGCATGAAGGTAAAATGCAAGCCTAATCTACACATGAGTAACAAAGCACGTGTGATGGGTTCTCTATGGCCTCAAAGCCCAGCCAGGTAATCACGTTCAGCCTGTGATAAAGCAACCATTGAAGTGATTACGCATTTATCTTCTAGCAAGTGCATTTTTCCGGCTTTGATAATTTGTCGGGTAAGCTGGTCCATCTGACTTGCCAATATAGAGCACTGATCAGAGAGGTGGGTGCACAACAATCTCGGCAATGAATGCCGAGATGCCCTTGTACCACATTGTGCACATTGTTTCGGTGTTCTCGCTGGCGGTCATTTATGCAACTGCCAGTTTGGCCGACATGGATGCACCCACACGTCAGTCGAATCAAGTATACAACTCCCACTGCGCATGGGACGTAGCGTGTCCCTGTGCGCGACAGAGCACGAGGCAGAATTTGCGCGAGGTGTATTGACCCGTTTGCAAAGCCTCGGCGATTTTTCCGGTGCAGAGAAAAACCACAAGAACGTTGGACGTCTCGAGCAATCTTTTTTAGCCTGTGTGAGACGTCGTGCACGTAAGGTACTACGACAGGCCGGCTCTTTCGGACACTGTTTCACTTATCCGGTTTGTCGCCTCGCTTCACGACAGTGACCAGCTTTTCCGCCACCGAAACGAGAACATGCGCGGG